TCATCAGTGACGAGACCCAATAGGTGGAAACTGCCGGTTAGTGCTTTACCGGGCAAGTGGGGGGCGATCTGATTTGGTAGCCAATGGCATGCTAGTTGTTAACACAGTTGCTCCGCTGCTCATCCCAAATAAATAACCATAGACATTTATTTTGTTGTCAGTTTTCATCTTTTATCAGCGTTCCAGTACTACATTGTAGGGTCGGCTACCAAGCAAAATCCAACCTGTTATAATAGCAGCAGAAATAACAACGATGCACTTCTGACTAGCTGCATGTACGCATGAATTACATGAGGATTACACGTAAGCGGCAGTGGAGTGAAATAAACCCGAGTGAAAACAGACGTACTAATATCGGGGGTTTGTTGTCTATCATTTAATTATAGTAGGGATTTGTGAGTTGTTGGTCAAAGTGGTTTGTTGCCCAGGACCTATTGGTGCGTGCAACTTGGAGGAGGACTTAAATAACTTGTGTAAGTACACAAACAATTCCGTGTCGGTCAATGCAAGACTGCAGATTTGTCAATTCTGTTTTGTCCAACAGGCCACAGTAATCGGGGGGTGGGGGTGATAGCATCATTTGTATACCTGACTGTAGCAACAGAACGATGCTTCGAGCTTCACAATATCAAACTTCACTGCTTAGTCCCACTGAGCTGTACACGCCTGTGACACCCTGCTAATGAACTAGTAATGTGCGGCATATTGTCCTGCCAGTTCCATATCAGACACCCTAACAGTATTGCTTGATGTGATAAGAAAATTCACTAGATAGTCACCGGTTGCATCTACTGTCCCAGTGACCGAATACGCCAAGGTTCACATCAATTGGAATAGCGGTCCACATTGACATCGCGTGTTGTAATTTATTCTCACAACGAGTGAATTAAAATTACTCCTCCAAGGAAGCTGATTGGTCCTCTGTCATTTGCTCCGACCTGCATTGGTAAGGATTAATGGCATTCACCGAGCTTGCGTGTTTGACAAGTTAATACATTATTTCGTCGATTATCCTACACCGAAGTGAACAATACGGTCCGCTTAATCCTGCCAGCCTCTTCACGATTGGCCTTTAAGTGTTAAGGTAAACTACGCAATTGGCCCAATTTAGGCGACAACTTGTGAAGGAAGACGTTTGTACGACAATTCGCATGTCTGGTTTACCTTTCTGTGTGCCTGCATAACACGAATCTTGAGGAAGCACATTTGGAGGTAATTTTCCAACCAGTTAAAAAGACCGTTAGTAGCCAGGCTGATTTGTAACAGCTAACAAAGAACTGGCAAACTAGTAAGTGAAGTGGCTTCGCTGCATCTGACCCTGTCATGGACACTTCGAAACGTGCACGCTACAAGGAGGGGGCTGGTGCCGTATCATAGTCATTTGTTACGGAAGGTGCTACCACCTTGTGAACCTAGTTGCCGAGTACAGATATGTAGTTCACTCGCTCTGCCTCATCAGTGTAAGATGACACATACAATTTATACATTTCTAGAAAGAGAAATGACTGCCACTGCTTTCCTGTTTACATGACGATTAACTGACCTAGTGTGTTTGTCAGAATGCTCTTTTGAGAATTAATCGAGTCCGTCCTACACGCGTACATAAAAATATGCTTGGAAATCATGAAAATGATTCAAATGGTATCAGAAGCATACCAGTAGTTCCTACTGATGTTTCGGCATTATGAAGCAAAGCAGTCAGATTAGAGCTTGGATCCTGCATGGGTGCTCCTTGAAAGCTCAGACACGAATCTCAGCAACTACAATCAGACGTATGAACCGTCGCGCCATAGATCTCGGATGAACGCGGAAGCTGATCCTTTTAAAGTTCTAACGGCGTGCGTGTTGTTGAGGTGGATGATGTGTATACCTCATACAGTCGAAAGTTATAACAAATGCAGTCCAGCTCAGAAGGTGTCATCGCACTGGTCATCTGGGCAACTACGCGTAATTAAGTCATATCAAACTAGTTGGCCCCATGCTAGAGGAAAAGACACAAACTTTTCGGAGTAGAACATCAGTGATTGAAGTTGGGACATGCGCAATCCTGCGAATCAAGCAGGAATAACTGACTATAGAATTGAAGACTGGTAGCTCAGGTTGTTCAGATGGCAGTTGAACTGTTCGCTGAGCTTGGCAATTGCCAAGCTCAGCGAACAGTTCAACTGCCAGGAATAACTGAGCTTCCTGTTAACTCCACTAATGTTGACATCTAACACATCTGTTCACCATGAAGGAAAAGAGAAGTTAGGCTTAGTGATGCACAAATTGCCATTTAAGTGGGTACAAAATTTCACACGTTTAGGACAGATGTCTCTCACACTACCATACTTACCACTGATTTACGGAAATTGCCACACTATCTTGATGGGGCGATTATGCTAGATGAGCAGTCTATAGACCATTGGCTGCCCAGTAATTGGTCAATGGAGCGCGACCCGACTTTTCGGTCTCGCTTGCACACACCCATCGCCTGTCAAACCTCGACACCCAAAAGTTAACAAGGATTACCCACTGAAAGTTAATAGTTCGTTTGCATGATTCAGCCAGTGCAGTAGTGTTTGTCGTGATGCCACATCATTGTTACATCCTACAAGGACGAAATTTGAGAAGGTGCAAAAGGAACTAAGGCATACGGGCAATGTGGACCAGCAGTAGTCCGTGGTCATTCATCCGCTCTACTGCGATTAACGTATGAGCTGTGGTGTTTTAACACATTCCACTACTAAAGCATTGCTACTATTTCGTTGCGGTCGCGACTTCCTGGTACTATAAAGGTGGTACTATAAAGGGGAGAAAGCATCACCAGTAAGCCGGTACGCAGTACCGACTCCGTATTGCCACGCAACCACCATCGTTTGATCGTGGGCAGAGGATATTGCGAGTGTCGCCTGGTTCCTAAACAGTCTCGAATCAGAGCTCTCAGATAAGAAGGCAGTCATGTGATGCTTAAGTTTACGAGTCGGCACCTCATGATAGTGGTAAGGTTTGAACTGTTAGTAAGACAATGAACAATGATGTATTACAGGTAAAAACGCGACTGCTTTACAAGTCCCATAGGATGGTAAAAGTGAAAGTAAACATTAGTGTAAATCGGCAATTTAATCATCTAGCGATTCAGGTGCCCCTGATTCATATAAACATTTTAGAATGTTTACTGAATTGCTACTTCGGAGTAATATGGAAAGTAAGATGGGGAAGGTATGTCTTAAGAACAAAAGAAACGACAACGCTTACTCATGCGCCGCTCTTCTGAACTGAGGTAATTTATAAATGCAGTTAGAATATATCAGAAACCATATTGCACAACAGCAGTGTGTAAGTAGCGAAGCACAAAAACTGAGAATGAGCACCGGTTGTTCGCGTTTGGTTGACGTGGACATCTCTGATTATATAGCGTAATGTAAGTGGATAAGCGAATCATCCAGAGGTCATTTAGGGGAAGAAACAACGTATGTGAGAAGAGCGTTTCAGTGTTGGCACAAAGGAAGGGAAAAGAAATTCCAGCAGCAGTCCAACCGGCTGTATTTAGTTTCCAGCTTTAGATGGTGTCCTCTGTGTGTTGTATTGCGATTTAGCTTTACTAGGTGACGACAAGAATGGTTTGGATTCCTCAGGATCGTATAAGTCATTATCAAGTCGCAGCGCAAGCGTCGATATTGTCCACTGTAGACCCCGAGGGTTTTCAGCCTCATTCGGTAAGGGAGATGAAACAGGCCTTTTAGTTCTTGGTCTCCCTTCGTTGTGGCAGTTCAAGAGCAGTAAGGTCTTGCTTTTGCCATGGCTGTCAGGCGTGGATGGCGTACTCAGAATGAGGCCGAATGTAGGCGTTGAGCGTCGGAGAAAAGATGGAAGGATCGCAGCGCCCGAATGCCCTCTACAAAAGCCCAAGGTGTTGGTTAGCTTTTCTGGAGGCTTTCTCGGCCTGACGGGAACAGCCCAGATCTTCCTGCACTAGCACGCCGAGATCGCACTCGGTTGAAGTGCGCTGCAATATTTGATCCCGCAATCTGTATTCGCAAGTGACTTTATGGCGTATGCTCAACACCTTGCACTTTGCAACGTTGAACTGAAGCAGGTTCTGAGTCGACCATTCGTAGACCCTGTCAAGATCATCCTGAAGTGCTGCATTGTCGCTGGTTGTTCTAATGACTCGAAATATCTTGAGATCATCAGCAAAGAGTAAGGAGTTGGAGGTGATTACTGTCGCGAGATCATTTATGTAAATCAGAAATAGTCGTGGACCAAGTACTGACCCCTGAGGCACTCCGCACTTAACGTCGATTGGGTCAAAATGACGCCGCGAACTCTGACGTTCAATTGTCGTTGAAGCAAGAAGTTATCTATCCAACCGAGGATTGGATCACCAATTCCACAACACTAGGCAACTTATGGGGAACTGTTGTTATAGGTCGCAATTATGCTAGCGAGCTTCTGTCTGTAAGTCCATAGGGATTGACTCTGGGGAAATGTCTGAATGTTTTTATTAATCTCCAAAATGATACTGGAGTGGTCAGTTGTGCATTATCAAATTCATCTGCAGAGATCCTTGAAATACTTAGCTTAGGTTAGCATTGTGTTATGGGTGTCTATCCTTTCATTCCTTTCGTTCACTGGGTCTTAGTGGTATCAAGGAATGAAAACTTTTACTGCAAGGCAGTGATGCAATCGATTGCTCTCGAAGAACATAGTGGCACGTTAAACGTTGATTTTCTCATGACAAGGCGTGTAGTATTGACGAGGAAGGCGTCATATACCGCACACACGACTGCGGACTGATGACTACTCACAGGCAGTTGTAAAGTTGCCCAGTCTCCGGCTTATACGACTGGCCGGCTATCATGAGCGAGCTACAATCTGCAGCTCGCTTACTCGTATCCCATGCAACCATAACAGCAGTAGTGGTGACTCATGAGGTACCACGCAATCAGTAATCCCCCAAGATCGGAATGCATAACTACGATACAGCTCGTTCAGTGGTTTATTTAAATTGGACGCACCTCCCTTCAGTTTCTCGATCACATGCCATGGTGTCGTTGGATATGTATGAAAGGGGTCCACTTTCCATACATCACTCGGCCTGATTAGCGCCCGTTGGACCATTGTTTCTGTGATGCCATCAACTGGAAATTTTGCTGGGCCTGTTGGGGCTGGGTAGCCTTGATGCATGATTGATGCAAGGGTGTGGTAGGTGACGTGTGGAGATGGCATCTGGACCAGTTTGGTGTAATACTCAGGGGCCGGCTGTTGCGCCAATCCGTATCGATTAGCGATCTCAAGCATCAATGTAGACAGATGGGCATGCAAGTCGGTGAAATGTCTGTGCAAGATTAATTGTCCCTGGAAAGTTGAAAAACAGATGGAATCGATGCAAAGACAACAGGCCACAAATTCACAAATAAGGGGTAAATTAGTATACAAAAGGAGAGGGATACCTTGCCACCAGAAAATGACTTCAAAGGTGCGTTTGAGACTTCATTTAGACCAAAATGCAACGTTCCTTCTTAGGTTATCTTAAGGAACTCAGTAAGGGTTACGGGACTTACTACCTGCTCACTGTATCGTACACAAACCCAGCATGAAGTAGACCATTACAGCGTTAAACCGCCACGAGACCACACAGCCGGGGTGTTGAACCTATATCTGAATAAATTTCTCAGAAATATCTCGTTGATCTTGGAAGGCTACACTGGCTTATCCATTTTCAGAAACGTGCAAGTTTGTCACGGCAAGGAAACTAGAGTGACTTCCTGCACTATATCTGCTCTGAATGTTTGTGAACACGCTGGGCTAACGGTTTAATGCGCGGGATTATCATCTGGTGTTTCTGAGAAAACCTTAGTTATCTCCCCTAATTGGAGATTATGGAGTCTAGATGGTTTCAGCTGTTACTCACGACGCACAACAGACGTGTCTTTGGGTGTAATAATCGCTACAAGTCACGACTAGAGGATGCAAACTTGATGCACGGACAGCGATTCTCATTTTGCTTTAGATAGAGTCATTCGCACTCACTCTGTATGTGGAAGAACGTGCTCACATCAAGCTGCAACCTTTTCCGTAGGTTTCACACCTTTGTGGTTGTTCTCACAACAATGAATGCGTTTAAAAGTTAGTAACCAATTGAGAACCCAGCTGGAAGTATTTGTTTGCCACTTATGGCACAATATCTTTAGATAGACAAATGTTCGGATAGGTTGTTGTTAAACTACTTCAGGTAAGCCGAGGTTAGAAGCAATACAAAATGATGTTGCAGACTACACTCTCGTAACTCATTAGTTGCAACAACCTGCGACGAGAGAACAATCACTTTGATGCATTTTGCATCCACGAGCTTAGTTTGCTACTGACTTCAGTGGAACGTGTGCTGGAGGCTACAGCCGCACAAGGGCGGTCAAGCGCTAGATGCAGCTTCGAACAAGTTAGCATTTTCTGGTAATCCCTATGCAGTATGAGGTGCTTTGTAATCATTTTAGCTACGTCAAAGATTCGCTATCAACAGCTCTAAATTGAGGTGCTTTTTTGAGAATTGTAGCGCATTAGGTACTTTATCCTTGTGATGTGCTTAATTTCGAACACGATGCTGCAAAGAAAACTCTGTCGGTCTAATGGAAGATGCATTACTTACCCCGTGTTCCTTGATGGAACCGCGAGATGGCCAGTTTGACCCACACCACCCCTAGCCTCGAAGGACGAGAGTTAGCGGCGCGCATAATCAGTAATAACAAAAATTACTCCTTTGTCTTCCGTACGTTTACCATGCGCATGCTTTGGTGCCTCATTCTGAGTTACCAGATTTTGAGAGACTCCAAACACAGGTGCAGCCATTTGCTGGAGCTCAGTCACAACACTAATCTGAGAGACCACCATCTCACGCTGGCAGAGCAATGCAGTCCTTTGGAATGCCGTCCGAATTTCTTTTCCATACGCGTTTTCTAAGCGTGGGGTTCCCTCCCGGTATCTGGCATTTGTGTTGTAACGCTGGTAGAGTTCAAAACTCGTGTTGTCCGTGCACTCATTTATGTGCATTAGCTGATACATGTTGCAGAACTTAGTCCTACAGGGACAAGCGTTTATTCGGCAAAGGCAGCACAGCGAAAATGACAGCATGTTTAGTGAGTCAAACTCCTCGATCAAAACTGCACGTTCAAGTCCATAAGTAACGACCCTTCTGAGTCAAGGAGGTTCCTCCTTTGCTTCAGTTAAACAAATGGTGAATCACTCACGCGAATAATCGGCCAATCCTAGTCCACTAATCGAATCGTAACGCCCGTATCCAATTGGCTATCTGGCACGCTCGGTTGATCCATGTGTCCACTCTGATCTGATACTACCCTCAAAACATGACACAGCTCATTGCCAAACACGAGTATTTGCAAGAGATTTCCCTGATGGTCAACTCCCAGCTTACATACGAACTGTTTCACCTCTTGCATGTGTACACCAGGTGGGCTTATTTTAAAAAATTGCCGCTTTTGTCGCAATTCCTCATGGATTTACGGTGGATTCACTGTTTTTACTACTTATACTTTGGTGAGTTCACCTCTGTGAACTTTGCTGAGGCCTTTGTCATATGTTTCCTTTTGCACGATGATCATACTACGGGAAGTGCTAAGCATTAACATTTTCCCCCTATTAAGCCATTATTCCATTATTGTAGAAACTGTACACAGGAGACATAGAGAAGGGCTAATAACAGAGTACCCAGTCCCTTAGTTGACTATTGCGACATGCAATAATCTTAGTTTAGTCGTGTGATTCGCGTGAAAGGATGAGAACGATAAAATGCATCTAACTGATGAACTGTGAGAGCTGGACACCTGGAAATGTAGTTATTTGCAGTACGCAAATATTTCTGCTGACACTAGTCTAACACGTGACCGCAATCGCCTGCATGCCGGTTGGGGGGTACTACAGATGCGCCTTGACCAATGAAAGCGTGGATCCAAGGAACAAAACATCGCAGGCCAGCCGTTCGATTAGCCATACTTAAAACCAACCAGATGACAGCTCATAGGCAGAATTTTCAGCAAATACATGGAATTTATTGTGAACTAAATTTACTTCAACGTACCTATCGGTATCAGTTCAAATCGCACTCCAAGAGAAAAGCGCAAAAACCATTGGTAACGCATAACTTTGTGGTGTGCACCACCAGGCTTTACACTGTTTTATTTTAACAATGACACCAATGTATCCACGCTTTATGTACCGTCAAGAGAATTGAAACCATAAAATCACACACTCGTTAGTTCTTATAAACAATGCAATATCTGTAATTTTTTTCCGTGGCAGTATCTGTACACACTTGAAATTCACTGTTACTCTGATGGCTATGTGCAAATTTTTAAACCTGCTTATATAAATATAATTAATCTGTAATTTCCCCAGGTACATAAACACATGAATCATTACGACTACATTTCGATATATATATATATATATATATATATATATATATGCAAACAAGTTGCGAGTTGGAAGTTACAGAGTTCAACGCAAATACGCTTCGCTTGCATCTGGTGAGATTTTAAAAGCAAGTAGTTGAAGGTTCCCATTTACCAACCGCAGTCGTTTCTAACCCAAGGTTTCGCTGCCCTTCGACCCATTGTTGACACTTGCAGCACGCCAAGAACCAGGCACACTGTGAGTAACTTAGGTCGATAAATTAAACGAGGGTGAAATGGGTCGGCAGTTGTAGTTTTATCTCCAGTAAAAAATAAGTATTTGCATAGTTGTTTTCAACGAAGGTGTGACTCTTGTTGAAAATTACTTGAAATTTGTCTGGCTGGAAATAACGCAGCAGTCTGGTGATTTCTCCGGTTTGTCTGAGTTAGGTTTATAGAATCCTAGAAGTACTATTTCATTATACCCTTAAGCGATTGATGCGGAATCTTGAACTACACCTTGAATTCGGTTGTTTGAATCCAGCAACGTCTTTCTACTTGGTGCATCAGCTGGTCTGTCGCGCGACAAGTTCAGGTTTTGCGTCTTTTAGTTCCCCTAGATATCAATACTTTTCGGTGTTGTAGCCTGTAGCTACAATCACAAGCGAAATTTTACTGTTAACAGCAAAGATTCCCTTCACCCATCTGCCTTTTGGAACGGCAATCTGCGCTCCCGCTAAAATAGTGTGTGGTTGCTGTTATCGAAATAACTGCTTGGAGAAATGGGGCCGAACAAGAGGAAGGGTTTCAGTCAATAATATCTTGACACATGTTGACGGGATAGTTGCAATTATCTGCTTGTATTGATGGCTTGGATATCATATCGCTGACGAGCATGAAGCGGAGATGGTAACAGCCACTGTGTGCATACCATCGGTGAGGAGCAGGATGAGACGAACTGATCGACCTCACCTTGAGATGGGAAGGTCGTATCAATGGCTGATGGACCTCAGATGACTGATAACTCAAGTATGATGCGATGTAACACAGGGCTCATGCTGTTTTAAGTTTCCACGAACCCTCGCTTTCCGACTCGGAGTGATCTTGACTGTGGATGTTTTATCCGGCGCGTGGTTGCTCGGCTACTTGCCCACTCCCTGGTGTCGACTTGTCAGCATGCACTCAATACGTTGTTCGTCGGCATTCGCTCTGAATAGTTAGTTGGGGCTTAAATTCTCTCAAGCTAGGTTCTCTTCATTTCCCACTGCAGGTTGTCAGGTCTATTTCAATCTATTCGGAAAAGGAAGGAAGATGGAACCTCGACCCAGACAAATAGTATATATCATATGATCTTTTAAAGAGTAAACTGTAAGATTAGCTGCGCAAAGAGACGCGTGTTGACTTTCACAAGCTGGTTCGCACAGTATCCCTTAACCAGGATTCACTAACCCGGCTTTTCCCTAGTAAATATATAAATATCAAACTGGATACCACTGTTTCCCTTCTAAGCAGCCAAGGTACAAGCGGCGTTCACAAGCTGGCTCCCACAATTAGGACTAAACCAGTCTGCTTACACCACATTAGGAGGAACCTAAAACATCGAGAATCAAGTAAGCGCCTAAAAATAATATCGCGCTGCCCTACTCTACCCTCACTACAAAGCGCCTTTTTATAGAGGAAAATTGGGAAGCTGCACCCTTATAAATTTTACTGCTAATCACTGTTGACATGCGCTTGTCATCAGAGTTTCTCACTGTCTATACGCTGTTTCCGGACCCATATTTCAAAACCGATCTTTAAAGCAGCTACCTCAGCGCATGGTAATAGCTTGCAAATTTGTATCACTAGGACCTTGTAAGTGAAATGCTATAATTCCATTGTTTCAAACTACGCAAATCCGGTAAGTACTCAGCTGGGTGACATGCACTACTTAAAGTGGTGGGCCTTTGTTTC